AGCCGTGCTTTTCAGTCATCACTTTTTGCGCTTTTTGAGCGTGCTCTGGCTTACACGCCATCTCCTCCAAAACCATGAGGAGAAACGCCACCTAGTCTCGTCAAACTTTACTTCTATTTCTTTCTTTAGTTTATTTTATTTTCCGTTGAGAGTTTCGTGTGTTCCGAGTTAAGTTTGCCGTGTCTCCGAAAGAGTGCCGTCTAAACTTCAACTGCAGACCACAGCTCCGCGTCGCCAGCCAACGCCCAATCACTGGCTTCCCAAGACTGACTTCCAGCCAATCAGAAAAGCGGGAAACCCCGTTCTGCAAGGACCACAACAAAGGGAACCCCCGCACCCAGGCAACGCAACGCAACGCAAGTACCTCCAGATTCTATCTGAACTGGTGCATTTAATATAAATTTTAACCTCATTGAGGAACTCAATGCGAGGGTTAATTAAGTGATTGATGGTTGTTCAGATCTATGTAATTGCACATATTGCTGTAAACTTGAGATTTCACATTTTCATTGTCTTAAACTAATTATTTCCTCACTTTCTCTCTTTCTGCAACTTGTGTGAATGCGTGTGTTTATGTGTTAGATTAGTTTATATGTCTTAGATTTATCCAATAAAGCCTTATTTATATTGAAAAGAGAAGTATCTTGTGTTTTGTGCTTACAAGTTAATGTCTTAAACTGCCGATCTTGTTACTGTGCTAATTAATAGTGTTTTCACTATATTTTGGATATTAATATCCATTGCAGAGTTGATGTTATACGGCTCGTTCAATGAATCGCTGGCCGTCTCAGTGATCAGCCGTAAAACAGTGATTCTGTCCAAATTCCCTTTAAAAATCTTAAATGATTCCCTTTGAACTAAATTGACCTGTTTCCCTTACAGGGACTTGTCGTAGTTTTGATCATTCATTTAATGAATATCATAAGTCCAATCAGTTAGAAAAGATATAGCAACCCAAGTCAGACCAGTCTGAAGGTCTGACCCGAGTTTGGTGGTTGTAGCTTAAACTCTTGGAGGAGATACAGTCCAAATTTAGTCTCAGAAGAAGAAGAAGAAGATTATTACAGCAAATAGCATTTCAGTAAGTTGGCTTTCTCAAGCCAACTTAACTGGGATAGCAACTATAACTGTGTAGGCAAAGCTGCATTTCCTTCAGAAATCATTTTAATATATTGACAATGCTGAAAACAACTGTGATGTTTAATAATATTTTTTTGTGGAGACTGTGATATGTTTTTTTCATTATTTTTTGATGAACAGAAAATTCAGAACAGCATTTACTTGAAACAAAAATCTTTTTTAGGCCTTGAGAAGGGCATAACCTTACGAAAAAAGAAAACATGCAAATGCGGTTCTTGCATTCCTCTGCGGTTTGCTCGTCAATAGCGCGGTATTGCGATATTGCGGTTATCGCGATAGCCCTAATAGAAACTGACATTTAGTACACCCTGAGAAATATTGACTGTAATAAAAGTGACAGCTAGTCCTGGTCTCTCCTATATAGAGTCTTTATTAATATCACATGACTGCTGACAACCCCATTGAATCCTTGTTTTCATATGCATGCACAGAGCTCATTTCAGGCTGTGAACACAAGTTCCAGTCGTGGGGGTGTGTTTACGTGGGATGGATCTGGCGTGACACCAGAACATGGTATTATCACAGTCACACAAATTACAGGTCATCAGTGTGTGTCCTCTCTGTAAAAACCCTGATCAAGCCACCATTTATCACCCATGAATTAATAATGTCAGTGCTTAATTACAACATATCAGTTTGGCCAACTTGCTTTGTGCTACACTGCAATTACAGCAACATACAGTACTGCAAAACACTGACTTCAGTCAAAGGGCTAAAAATATGTGATGTAGCCAGTATACACTATAGAGGAGCTGAGATACAACAGGGTACTGTGTTGTCTCTGCTAACACGGTTTGCTCCTGAGTTCAGTCCTATAGAAAGTCAATGATCAGTAATCAGAAATACTGTCATGTCATGTAAGTGATACATTTGAATTCTAGTAAAATAGAATAGGGTGACGTTGAATTTTGTCATGACAAATGCTGCTTGGAAAAATGTTACTTACCATTATTTCCATAGCTGTCCATCGTGAGGTCCCCCAGTACATGGACATGCCTTGGTTTATCACGTAGGTCATGGCTCTGACGATCTCTATGGAGACAAATATTCACAAATTCTGTTATTACCCTTGTGAAAAAGAAGCGAACAATTTTATTCAATGTGTACCTGTAGTGTACTTCAAATCTTAAAAGCATTTAAAAAACTCATTAATTTACAACTATATGTGAAATAACTCAGAGTATTAGTATAATGTTATGTTAAGTTTAGGGTTAACAGAATTTAGTTGACATACTTGCAAAGTTACTTATAGTCAGTAGAATGTCTGTTGGGGTTCAAAATAAAGTGCTAGCATTTATTAAGTAGACAGTATAATAATTTAATGACTGCTAGTTGCCATGTAGTTGCAAAGTTACTTGTAGTTAGTAGAACGTCTAAAGTGGACTATCAAAATAAAGTGTTACCTATACTTTAATTTACTATAAATGCTTGTCAGATCATTCAGCAGTAGACTTTAAACACTTCAAAGACAATAACAATTATGAAATTATATATAATCATATAAAGTCCTGTTTATGTGGAAAAAAGCACTCTAAATTTCAGCTAAATGCATTTAAGTTTAAACTATAACAATGTTTTATTTAATTGGAATTGATATGCAATTAATCACTTAATAATTACAAAGTGTCTGAAAACATAAGACCAATATTCAGTTATCATGTAAATATATAATTTTAAAATATATTATTTTCATAATATTTTCATAAACATTATTTTCATTTTTTTATTTTTTATTATAACGTGTACTTCTTTTTCACAAGGGCAGACTAGGGCAGAATTACTACATTCTGTGCATTTCATTTTTCATTTTCTTTCCATTAATGTTGAAAAGCCAGAAAAAGTCAAATAAATTAGGCTATTATTAAAATAAAATGAGAAACTACAATAGTTCTGCTGGTCATCAAAGATAAATGTCAAATTTAGTGTAAACTAGCTAAATTGTGTAATTTTCTAAAGTGGTGTGTGATTGGTGCTTCAACAACCTTGTCTCCACTATTAAACCAATGATTTTATGGACACTCATTGAGCTGAAGTTTGAGAGAGATCAAACTTGATTCCCTCCTGCTATGTTCTGATGCACACTAAGAAAAGTCCATAAAAATAAGGGTCAGTGTATTGTTTTGATATGATGATATGAAGGAATTTTCAGTATTGGTGTTTTCCCATATTTTGAAATATACATTGCATTGCATTGTGTTTTAGTGCTAAATGAAATGTCTAAAAATGTCTGTAAATTTAAAGGTGCCTTAAGCGATTTCTGAGAAACACTGTTGAAAGTGGATTGGACCAAACTCCAAGACACACTTCTAGCCAATCCCCAGTAAGGGGTGTGTCCAACAACGATGTGGGAGTTGCCTGTGTTGCATAGCATGTTTGTAAATTTGAGGGTGCGGAGCTACCAAGTTAGGGGTGTGATCCTTTTGGGTATAGGGCCTGTTGGTTTGGCGATTTCAAATATCAACAGCGTTTCTCAAAAACCACTTACAGCACCTTTAACGGATATCGTCAAGGCAGACAATTTTGTAGTACTTTTTCTGTTTTTCTACTGATTTTTTTTCTTACAGTTTATACATGTGCGTGCTATCTCAGACTTCAGGTGGTGACTTAATCTGGTATTGTACAATATAGTTTCATTCACTGCCTCAGCTTGGGTGGATTAAGTTGAGCATGACGTACTTTTGTGTGGTTTCACATAATTCAATAAGTGCACTCATGAGGAAAAATTAATGATAAAGTACAGTGTAACTTCATATTCCCTTTAGCTTTTACCCTTCATGCTGATGAAATTGTAATCAGGTAAGAAACAAAAAGCGAGAAAGCAGGGCCGAGAGAGTCAGGGGACTGCAGAGCCACTGAAGAACTTTAATATGCACTGCACACAGTGAGGAGCGCTAAACTCTGGACACTTTATGCATCAATGCAGCAGAAAAGCACTGCATAGTGATGTGCCTGCCCATGCCTATGAGACAGACAGACAGCGAGAGCGAGACATCCACATCTGTCCAGTGTTCAAAGGTAAGAACCAGAGATTATTAAGGAGTCTAGGCTTGCAATTTTTGCAGCACTTTCAAAATAAAATGTGTGGCGATTGATGGTAAAAGGTTAATACTTTATCACACTTGAAACCAACCTACCACCTTCACTAAACCCTACCTAAACCTAACAGACAGTGTTAGCAAAATCAAACATGAGATAAAAATGCATTTGTTACAGCAACCATGCCATTTTAGCTTGCTTCTATAAGTCTTTGAGCTCTTCTGTCGAGTGTTGTGACTCTTGTTTCACAAGTGCAATGCTGTACCAGGTGAGCTAATGAGCAGGTTTACTATGTCAGAAAAGGAACCTATTATGTTAGTTAAAGTCTTTTTAGGTCAAAACATAGTATTATGCAAGGAACCACGTGAATACATTTTTTGTCAAGATCACGCAAGGAACGTGTCCCCCCCACTTTTAATATCACGTAAATTCGTCCCCTGCATTTTTTCAGGCAAGTGAGATTGCATAAAGGTTTTCAAGAGCCTGTGTGAATAAATATATATTTAAATTCAAAGAGACAGGATAGTCTGTGCATGACCTGATGTTTTATTCGGACCCAGAATAAGGCGAGATGAACATCACGGAGCGCTAAACACTCCGTGCAGTGTATGTTTCATTCATACACGAAGCCGGAGGGCGCTCTCGTGCAGAAAGTCGTACCAGGAAATCCCTAATATGGACAAAAGCATCTTGCTATAGCTATATGAAAACAGTCGTTTTCACAGAAAAACAGAAAAGTTTGGAAACATGAAGACATTAAACATACGATTGCGACAATATATGGTTTATTTGTGTTTTTTCACAAATAAAGTCATCTCCAGGTTATAAATAAAGTATATGAACAATGCAGTGCTAATTGACATAGCATTTATTACAGTATTGAAACTATTCTGCCTTATTATGTGATAAAAAAGTGTTAGTATAAAAGGGCGCTGGGATAACACGCTTCTTCGTCTGAAGCTTGCGTCCGAAGCATGGCAAGGAAACCAGAGGACGCAGTGTCTCGTTCCCTTCTCAGGGAACCATGGTTACATACGTAACCTGAGACATTCCCTTCTGAGGGAACTTCGAACTGCATCCTCTAGAGGTCGCTATGGGGAACGGTA